GTTCATAACATTCCCAATAGTTCAGGTTCAAGATGCAGTGACCCCATAGCTCCCAACTACAATGAGAGCCCTTCTGTTTTTGGAGGTTGGTCTGGAAAGAACCAATTGGAAGAGAACTACACTGAAAGAGGCTAGAAATTCCCAGCTGACGTCTGCAATCCAAAATTGCCCCTGAACAAAGGTCTCCATGCTCCAATGGTACCTTGGAGACATGACTACTAAGAATTCCTCTAAGACCAAGTTCTAGGACATTTCCTCCAGGAACTTCCTCAGAGGAATCTTTAGTGGTCTTTATTCCAGCTGCTACAGAACAGATTTGAAATTAATTCAGAAGCCAGAAGGTCAGGCACACCAGAGTTGTTACTTCCTAATTTCTGAGCACAGGCAGAGGCTGCTTGGTTCTTTCATTATGAATCCATGTTTCAAAGCTAACACAAGTATAGTGCCCACTGCCTCAACTGAACCCTGTCCCTGGAGGTTGGGCCCTGCAAATCTTCTCCCATCACCTCTCAGGGTCAGTATGGTCCTAATGGCCAAGGGAGAGAGGACTGCTCTTGGTTGATTAACTCCTTTGATCAGTGTGGTCCAGATGCCTTCAGGACCTTGATGATTGGGAATCAACATGTTAGGGTGGTGCAAACTTTTGGGAATTTATCTTCAAGGAGTAAGACTCAGACAAAGCACAAACTTGGTCTTCAGCCACCATATGTGTTGCTGTATATTTTTCTATACTTGGGAAGTAAACTAGTGTCACCATTTGGAACACATGTAAGTGTTCTCCAGCCATCCTACCCTTGTGTGTATACCATAGAGAAAGTGTTGCCTGATTCCATGATGAGACATGGATAGGAAAGATCTTTTTAGCTCGTAGTGTCCAGGAGGTGGGAACAAACTAGATGTCTGTAAATGTGGGAATAGATAATAAACATGGTAGAGACATGCCACAGTATTCTATGCGGCAGATGGATATGATGAACTAAATATTGAAAACAGTGCTAATAGGGAATTAGGAAATAGAAAAAATATTTATGGAATAATCTTACTGAATCAGTTAGAGCTCAGTTTAGGAAATACGTTATCAGAAAACTATTGATTTCACCTTGGAAGGGCTGGCAAAGTAGAACACAGGTGGAAGCACTGGTACATGAAATTCAATGCCTTTCCTACCTGCTGCCTAGGAGTCAGGAAGTTTTGACTGCTGCCAATACCACTGCCTCACACACACTCTAAATTGGTGACTAGCCATGAGAATAAGGCTGCCAGCCACGAGTATCTCTAAAGAGTCATGGTTCCATAACCTTGCTTGCCATCAGCAACAGCAATAGGAAGATTGCCTCTCCTCACTTTTGCCAAAAACACATGAGTGCATCTAATCGGTAGAACATAATTTCTACCCAGAACCCAACCTGCAAATAAGTCTGAGAAGTATGATTCTTAGTTTTCTAAACTCTTCAACTAGAAGGAAGGTGAAATGGGTTTTGAATGAGCCAATCCACATTTAAAGTGGTTCTAAGCCAATCCCCCCTAAAGAGAGGACGACATATTTTTTTAAAGACACACACATTTAAATATGCAAAGAGAAGTTAGAATTAAAGGACATATACTAAACTCCTTAGAGTATGTGCTCCCAGGGGTGGGGGGGTGGGGGATGGGAGTGGGATGAACCAAGAAAATAATGAAAGACAACAAGGAGGAAAGGGCATTCATTGCTCAGGGCACCCACCATCAAGTGTCCTGAATTAAGGAACAAAGTTAGCTTTATCCTCTGTACCTGGGATCTATGAAATCCATGAACTAATCAGTGACATGAAATTTCAAAAAATGCAATAGGAAAACAAAATTCTTTCGAAACAGACCAGTTAAAATAGGCAAGGAGAAATTATTAAGGACAGAAATCACACAGAGGTAGTGGAAGTGAAAACAACTCTCAGCAATCTCCAATCAACACTAAATACAACCAATTATAATGGATCCAAATCCCCTCAAAGTGGGTGTAAAAGTAAATTTCAGCTACAGCAGTGTGTTAGACAGAAAAAGACTACATATTAAGAACAGTACAATCTGTACCAGGCTAATTGTAAGCAAAAAAGTGAAAATATGACTCTTAAAGACAGAGGGGAGGGAAAAGTTTTTAAACTGGTTGAAGAAACAATATTTTAGCGTCTACAGGAAACATCAAATTGTTTTTCCCTGGCCACCTTCTCTGGCCAAGATGGTGTCATGAAGGAAAGAAATCTTGGAATTTTCACTTTTATTCATCCTGTATAGGTCTCTGCAAAACTTCACAGCTTAAAAGCAGGGCTATTTGATCCTTGGTCTCTCTAGACACTCAAAAGAAGTTTCAGAGGTGAGGAACTCAGTTACCACCCAGATTTTCCTCAGTAACTCAGCACATACCCAAAGATCCAGCCTCCTGAACCTTCACTGGGTGAAGAACTGGTGAAAAAATGGGAGGAAAGGGTTTGGGAGGCACTCACTAATGAGAAGGCAAAGAGATAGCTTTAGCCAGGGAGGGAATTAACTTTCCCTAGGTTTACACTAGCTTAAGGACCAGACACAAGAGCTGATTTTTTTTTTTAAGATTTTATTTTTAAGTAATCTCTACACCCAACATGGAGCTCAAACTCACAATCCCAAGACCAAGAATCACATGCTCCACCAACTGAGCCAACCAGGTGACCTATTTTCTGATGCTTTTCTAGAAGTCTATTAATCTACTTGGAAAGAGATTTCCTCCCCACCCCCAGAATTAGGCTCTTTCAAATCAGATATTTTGATTTGAGTGCCATTACTTTATGTTACAGTGCTGCCTTACAGAAATCCCCCAGGACAGCCTTTGCTACAGGTATTTTCTATATGCTACCTCTGTTTTCCAGAGAGAACTGATGTGTAAAGCTATTTTAGAATTGCTTTTTCAAAGTCCTTCCAGACACTCTTTCTGATTAGACCTACTCCAGCAATTGTGAAACAAGCATCAGTGGTTCACTAGTAGAATTCTGGCCTTCTATGCGGGAGGTCTGGGTTCCATTCCCAGTCAAAGGAGGGTTTTCCTTGCATTTTTATGTGTCCAGTGTTCTCTCTGTTGGATTATCTATTGCACTAGCAGCACAAGTTATTACAGGGTTGAGAGTCTCAGGAGGCAATGCTAAAAAGAAAAAAGGGCAACTATACCCCCTTAGGTTAATTCCAGAGCAAAACACATTGAGGTCTAAACAAGGGATTTTTTAGAGTTCTGTCTTTGAAAGGACAGGTTAGTATGGTGGGTCCTTTTGAATACTTGAAACCAAAGCCATTGTTACTTTTTTTCTGCTGGCAAATATCTGGAATATAGTGTCATCCGGTCACTGATTAGCATGCTGGATCTTGGGCTGGGCTGACCACTGAGCAGTGTCTCCCTATAGAGTGACTATCAAGAAATGGGCAGTCCAGGAAGGAGAGAGGCTGTGGGGCCCAGCAGACACCCCCGTGGCTGGGGAGACATTAGCAGCCCAAGGAAAGGTTGTGTGGAGGAATTGGCATGGACATGAGGGAAGCTACAGAGAGGGGCCTCAGACTTTTCTGTGCAGGTAGGCCCTAGACTTCGGTGGTCCTGGCAAATTAAGGACAAGAATGAGCCCCAAGTGGAGAGCAGCCTGTACAAGAAAATCATGTTTATTTTACACTCCCCCAAGCAAGACCTTTTTTTTCCGATGTTTATTTACTATTTAAAAATTTTTTTTTCAACGTTTATTTATTTTTGGGACAGAGAGAGACAGAGCATGAACGGGGGAGGGGCAGAGAGAGAGGGAGACACAGAATCGGAAACAGGCTCCAGGCTCCGAGCCATCAGCCCAGAGCCTGATGCGGGGCTCGAACTCACGGACCGCGAGATCGTGACCTGGCTGAAGTCGGACGCTTAACCGACTGCGCCACCCAGGCGCCCCTATTTACTATTTTAAAGAAAGCGCACACAAATGCAAGGGACGAACAGAGAAAGAGAATCCCAAGCAGGCTCGGAACGGCCAGCACAGAGACCACCAGGGGAACTCGCTCCGGTGAACCCTGAGATTAGGACCCAAGTCACAATCAAGACTCCCACGCTGAACCGGCTGAGCCACCCAGGTGCCCCATCTAAGTAAGACTTTTGGTACGTGGCTCATTTTTAATGCTTACATATTAGCAGCACTTGGGGGAAGGCCATGACTATCACTGGCTCTGGAGCTTTGGAGGAGACTCTGGAAAAGGAAGGCTCTTGGAGTCAGCTGGTTTGTTTAAACCAGTTTTCATCGACTCTTTTCCTCAGCAAAGAGTGGACGAAGTTGCCTAGGGGAGGCGCCCGGCCTTAGACCCTGGGGTCCCTAACATCCCCCAAATGATTCCGAAAGACAAGGGACGCAGCAACGGAAGTGGCGCGGACTGAGACGGCTTTCGAGGCAGGCGCCGTGCCCCTAGACCGGACTCGGGTCCCTCCCAGCCCGCCGCCCCTGCACTTTCCACCTACTTCGGCTGCTGCTCTGCACGCTCAGGGCCCACACAGAGTGCTCTTCGACGCCGGCCTTCCCCTCACGCCACACGCCCGCTTTGTCCGAAAATCCTGCTGCTGCTTTTGTTAGTTGCCGTCTCGGAGCCACACAACCGGCTTGCTGATTCGGGCAAACGACTCTCCCGACACAGGCGGGGAGAATGACGCCATTCGCGACCCCCGCTCCACTAGGACTTCGGGGTTTGGGGCCTTTACCCTCGGGACCCGGGGCTGGGCCGCCGTTGAGGCTTTCTAGGCTCTGCCCTTCAAACTAGCCTCTTCCGGGCCCGGCCTCCAGGGTCAGGGGCAAGGCCGGGCCCCCTCGGCGCGCTGCGCCCTCTCTCTCCCTCTGCCGCGCCCCGCACCCTTGCGTGCGGCCTGCGGATGAGCCCCCCGACGGCGGCGTCGATTCAGTGTGTCCGGCGCGGGCGACGCGCAGCTGCGCGGTGCACGCGGATGCACGCGGATGCACACGGCGAGCTTGCGACCCCGCCCCCGCTGCCCTCGCGGCCCCGCGGGCGTCACCCGCGGGCCGTAACGTCCCGGCCCGACTGAGCTGCCCCGACGCCTGGGAGGGAGGGACCCGGAGGAGAAGGGCAGCCTCGCCTTTCAGCCCTGTCCAGTGTTAGGCTCCCGAACCGTCGTGGAGGAGACAGAAACGGAGAGGTGGAAACAGAGCCCAGGGGAGGGAGGAACTCCACGCGACTTTCCTCCTCTGCAAACAGCCCGAAGATGAAATTGGTGTCGCGTAGCTGGTGAAGGTGAGTTCCGTCGGGGGGGGGGGGGGGCGCGGGGAGGGGGAGAGGAGCCAAAGCCTTGGCCCGGCTCCCAGTGAGTTCCTTTTGGCCCTTGAACGTCTCTCCCTGGGTTTCTTGTGGATTCCAAGGATGCACCTGGCAGGTTTATTTTTAAAGCACGTACTTTAAGATTACTTTAAAATCTTTTGGCGAAGGAAGCAGTGTCTGATGAGTTTTGGATGAGGACTTTCGGGTGTGGGGAAAACTAGCAAAAGCAATTGTTAGAGGCCGCTTTTAGACAACAGGCGTGAGCAGTGGAATGTAGAAAGGGCCCACAGCGACTCTCTGGCTGAATACAGTCAGGCCCACCAGGCAACCCATCTCAAAATACCCATAGGCCCTAACTAACCAATAGGCTACTTAAAACCAGGCACAGTTCCCAAAAAAGGGAAAATGCCATACGTTCGCAAACTCCTCACCTTCCCACCCACTGCCTCACTGCAGACAGTCTGCTTTGCTGAACTATCTGTAGCTCCCTTGCGGTGTATTCAATAAACTTCTATTTTCTTTGTTTTGCCTCACGTGAATGCTTTCACTGCCAACAACACTGACCCCCTCCCCCCCTGCATTGGGTCGCCCCACGTTTAAGGGCCTCCATCCCATTAGGAGAGGCCACAGCAACTACAGTTGAGAATGTCACACACCTAGAGGCACTTCAGCCAGGTGGGTTTGACTCCTACTTGGGCCTATCTTACTTTCAGTGAATTGAGGAACTTATTTAAATATGCATTCGAAAAATATCTGTGCATCTGGATGGCTCAGTTGGTTAAGTGTAAGACCTTTGGTTTCCATGCAGGTCATGATCTCATGGTTCTGGGGGTCTGAGCCCCGCATCAGTGCAGACCTGCTTGGGATTCTCTCTCCATCTCTCTCTCAAAATAAACATTCAAAGATCTAGAGATATGTATAGATCTAGTACATTGAGTACACCTTTTGCTATTTTTACACAGATGGCAAAGAAGAATCAATGATAAAGCATCAAAGCCTTTAAATTCTGATGTTTCTCTATTAAAGTTTTTCCTGTCTTATTCATAACCTCTTTTTATCCCAAATCTGACATCCACGGCCAAACCCTAAAATCAGTTTACTGGTTCCAGCCTATTCTTCCCCATATTGTATCTCCCATACAGTATCTAAGCCTCTCCCCTATCTTCTTTCATATGCCAAAAAGAAAAAAAAAAAAGTCAGCTATTCTGGAGTTGCCAATTTGCTCATGTTTGACAGTCGGCCTAGCAAATGGGACTCCCCATAAGATTCTTTCTCCTCAAGCGCACCTGGGTGGCTCACTTTGGGGGCGGACTGGGCTGATGAGTGTTAGATGCTTGGTTTGGACTCAGGTCCTAATCCCAGGGGTTGTGGGATCAGCTTCTGCACTAAGGATGGAGCCTGCTTGAGTTTCTCTCTCCCACTGCCCCTGTCCCCAGGTCACAGGAGTGCGCTCTCTCAAATAAGAAAATAAAAACAGACTGTCCCTAGAATGAAGCAGAAAACTTAAACAACACATTATTTTTCATGATCAGAAATGATATAAGTTTTTATTTACTGTGAGAGAGAGTGCGCACGAGAGAGAGCAGGAGCAGGGCAGGGGCAAAGAAAGAGGGAAAGAGGGAAAGAGAATTCCAAGCAGACTCTGCACGGTCCCCACAGAACCCAACTTGGAGCTCAAACTCACAAACCATGAGATTGTGACCTGAGCCGAAACCAAGAGCCAGACACTCAATGACTTAGCCACCCAGGCCCCCATGATCAGAAGTAACTTAAAGGCCTTGAAAATGAACTAACTTTTATTTCAAGAAACAATCTAGAGGAAATGCTAAATTTTGTAGACATTGGGTCTCTCCATTATCTTTGCAGACGACTGAAGATTTATTCTCTTCAGAGAATACAAAAGAGTATCTTTAGCCATATGATCAACCAGTACATGTAAGGACACAGATACAATATTGAAGTGAGAGGAGCAGAGTAAAGCATTCTTTGATCTGTATGATGATTTTATATATATATATATATATATATATACACACACACACGTACATATATAAATAAAATTTGAAATATATATGTACATATAGATGTGTGTATATTATGCATATTTCAAATTTTATTGAGCTGTGTAAAAAAAGTACAAAACTGGCAAACTTACACTACCTGACTTTAAGACTTACCATAAACTCTTCTAAGCAAACTTTTTTTTCTTCAAATTTTTAACGTTTATTTATTTTTGAGAGACAGAAAAAGAGCAGGGGAGGGGCAGACAGGGAGGGAGACAGAATCAAAGCAGGTTCCAGGCTCTGAACTGTCAGCACAGAGCCCGATGCAAGGCCTGAACTCCCAAACCATGAGATCATTACCTGAGCCAAAGTCAGACACTTAACTGACTGAGTCACCCAGGTGCCCCTAAACTAAGAAAATGGAAATTAAAACCACATTGAGATTTTATTACACTCAAACAAATAAACAAAATAAAAAATAAACATATAAACAAAATAAAAAATCATACATGACTTGTGTTAAAGAACAGTAAGGCAGGCTTTATTAAGGAGGACTACTAAAATGGGGTTTTGTAGTAGGAGAGACCAAGCTCAGCTCTGAATACAACAAGAGAGAGTGGGAACGTATAGCCCAGAGCAGGACCAGAGAGAGGGTTAATGAGTGAACATTTACTAAGAGGAAACCTCAGGGGTAAGGGGGGGGGGAGATTCTGGCTAAACCAGCCCAAGGGGCTCTTGCTGAAGGCCTGCCAAAGTCATCAGGCCTCCCAGGACGGAGGACAAGGAACCTGACCAGATGTCATGGAGGGGGTTCTGGTTAAAATGACTTAGCAGGATTCTTGCTAAAATTGGACAATGCAAAGACAAACTCCGAAGGCTGAAGGTCAGGGCCCGCTTGAGAAGAGAGTTTAGAGGACCCTGACAGTTCTGTCAAGGAATTTTTTGTCAACAACCAGAACGCTCATACATTGTTGGCACGACTATAATGGTGCAACCACTTTGGGAAACATTTTGTCAGTTTCTTATGAAATTAAACATACACCTCTCCCTCTTTGGTTCCATCAAATCCTCCCTTAGGTATTTATCCAAAAGAAATGGGGTGGAAAAGTGTCTACAAAAACACTTGGGGGTGCCTGGGTGGCTCAGTTGGTTAAGCGACCGACTTTGGCTCAGGTCATGATCTCACTGTTTGTGAGTTTGAGCCCTGAGTTGGGCTCTGTGCTGACCCCTCAGAGCCTGGAGCCTGCTTCGGATTATGTGTCTCCCTCTCTCTCTGTCCTTCCCCTGCTCATACTCTCTCTCTCTCTCTCTCTCTCTCTCTCTCTCAAAAAGTGAATAAATTAAAAAAAAAAAAAACACTTGTAATGAGAATGTTCATAGCAGCTTTATTCGTAACAGCTCAAATTGGAAACAACCCAAATATCCATCATCAGGAGAATGGTAAAGAAATTGTGAAATATTTATGCAATTATGCTGAGAATCCTTCTCAGCAATAAAAAGGAATGAAAAGCTGATCTACTCAATGAAATGGATAAAATTCAAAGACATTACATAGAGAGAAGCAAGTAGACATAAGCATACATACCCTGTGATCCCATTTACAGTAATTTCTAGAAGGAGTAAAACATATTTGTGAAATAAATAAGGATAGTGGCTGTCAAAAGATTAGGAGGATAATGACAGTAATATTCATGATTCTGCTTTTAACATGACTGATCTAATAGTAACTAAGTCAAAACACATCTGATAATAGAATGAAGTAAAATGCTCTTAATTAGTCCCATTTTATAGAACAAAGAAGGGAGACACTTGAAGTGTGTTTAGCCAAAGCCACACAAGGGCAGAACCATTGTTTCTTTTTTTTTAATTGAAATATATATTAATTAGTCTTAGTTTCACGTGTACAGTATAATGATTCAACATTTCTATACATTACTCAGTGCTCATCATGACAGGAGTGTTCTTAATCCCTTTTATCTATGTCACCCACCCCCCACTCTCCAGGGCAAACCATCTTTACAACATAGAGCTTGCCCTCTTGAGCATACATTAGTTGGGTCTTCTTAAATTTCCCTACATCAGGATTCCTCAGCTGTTGGGATGGGAAGAAAAGGGAGAAGGAGAGGGCAAGTGAGGGAGGGATGTAAGTATAAATTCTTTCATCCCCTCCCCATCTCTTCCTCCCTCTGGGTCTCTCTCCCCCACCCCCTCCTCCCTCCTTTCTCTCCCACCCCAGCTCAGACCCTCCTTCCCTATTCTGTTATATAACAAAAACAATTCCCACCTCTCTGGATCCGGCTTGTGTCCCGACACAAGACCTCCTAGGAGGTCTCACTGCCCTTTTCCAAACATCCCCTTCCCCCCTCCCCACCCCCCACTGATTTGCCCCACCCTCAGGGGTCCACGCCACCTACCACAATGCGGACACAACTCTCCTAAAGGAGGCAGGGGCCTCCTGGGCAGAGGGTCCACTGTAGGCCTTTCCTGTTGCCTGCTGCTGGGGAGGCTGAGGAGTCAACCTGGATAAAAGCTTTTTACAAAGAACTTTGGGCTTTGAAAAACTTTTCATTTCCATTCTCAGGGTTCTTCATGGGGCTAAAAGCTACAGACAACAATGTATTCAACAAGTCTTAACAGAACTTCCTGGTATCAGACTCTGGTGAGTGTCAGACTCTGTTCTCAGGGAGGGGCAACAAGACGGACCTTCAGAACGACCCCTGCCCCTGGAGCTCCCGTGCTACACATAGGAACCAAAGCAACACATCTACACAGAGGCCTCTTGGAAGGGTGGGCAAACTCTCTCACTGGGTGAGGGCAGAGTGACAGAAAGAGCCATCATGGGAGCCCACCAGGCCTTGAGCTTCCTAAGGACCCTATGTGGCTCAGGTCCAGAGTATCAGAGCCCGCGATCTCTCTGAAGGCACTGGCAATGAACAGGTAAGGGGCAATTTGTGGCAAAGCCGTTCTGTGCTTTTAGTTTCATAATCACCCGACATACCAGTTTCAAATGGGATAAACAACACCATTTATCTCTCTAATCTATTTTTTGAAGCTTTGAAATTTGCAGTTTTCCTACAGGACTGGCAACCGTACATCCTGGGTGGAAGTGCCAACACAATGAAATCAAAAAAGCCACCCAGTAAAGTCTCAGTGGTGCAATTGGTTAGTGTGTTCAGCTGTTAACTGAAAGGTTGGTGGTTTGAGCCCACCCAGGGACAGGCTGCTTCACGTTTACCTCAATTCCCCTGTTACCTGCGGTTTTGCACCTGCACATTTCCTCACATAAAGTACACAACATTACTGTATTCTGGGTCCTAGCCACCTCACAGCACCTAAGTGTTCAGAGCGACCCCACCTCCCCAACCTCATTCTCCGACGGTATCTGCTGGCCTATCAGCTTTATACCTCTACAACGCCAACTTCTCAAACAGATAGAAGAACCCGGGTTCTGCCTAGTGTGGTAAAACTCTGTAGTCCGCCCTGAAAGATTGGATGAGTAAGTGAAACTTTTTGTGACTTCCATCTTTTTTCTTTTTTTAATTTCTAAACATGATTGCCTTCATTGTTCAAGCTGCTTGCTTTGGGAAAGTTGGTCTAGGGGGCTGATGTTTTTTTGAAAAAAATGCTAATTGTTCATTTTTTAGAGCATTTTAGGTTCACAGCAAAGCTGAGGGGAAGGGACAGAGATTGCCCACACCCTTCCTGCCCTCACCCCTCCCCCCCCCCCCCCACACAAATACCCTGCCTGGTTGTCAACACCCCCCACTGCAGTGCCTTTGTGCCTTTGTGACAACTCAGGAATCTATCCAAAGTCCATAGTTTACATTAGGGTTCACTCTTGCAGGGTGGGTTTGGACAAACGTATCCGGAAATGTGTCCACCGTTATAAGTATCACACAAAGTAGTTTCACTAGCCCAAACATCCTCTGCGCCCCCTTTCTGGCAACCACGAATCCTTTTCCCGTTTCCATAGTTTTGCCTTTTCCAGAAGGTCGTGTAGTTGGAATCACACAGTATGTAGCCTTTTCAGATCGGCTTGTTTCACTTACTAATACGCACTTAAGATTCCTCGATGTCTTTTGTTGGATTGGCAGTTCATTTCCTTTTAGTGCTGAAATACTACTTCATTTGTGTGTGTGTGTGTCACAGTTCCTTTATCCCTCCACCTGTAAGGGACATCTTGGTTGCTTCTAAGTTTTGGCAATTGTGAGTACAGCTGCCGTAGGCATCCGTGTGCGGGTTTGTGTGTGGGCATAACTTTTCAACTTCTCTGGCTAACAGGGGGCCCGAACGCTGGCTGCTATATTAAGAACATTTTTGGTTTTGTGAGAAATTGCCAGACTGCCTTCCACGGTGGCTGTACCATTTTGCGTTCTCACCAAGCAGTAAGTGAGAGCTCCTGTTGTTCCCCCATCTTCGCCAGCCTTTGGTGTTGATGTGCCTCAGTTCTTTTTCATGGGGAGTAGGAGGCCAACCATGGTGTCCCGTCCCCAGGGAGTGCCTGGATTTGGGCATTGCTCTATCAATAATGTTGTGATCAGTGGATCCTCATCATCATTGTCCTCTGCATTTGTTTGATAGAGGCATTTCTTCCACAGTATGTGTGATACGTATTTAACCTCTTCCATATTGCTTTTGAAATTAAGTTGGTTTTATGGTTTTATGATTACGAATTCCTGTACCCATATTTTTGGCCACTTGTGCAGGTACTTCTACAGCGTACAGAACTGGAAGTGCAATGACTGTAGTATAGTGTTCATATGCTGCTAATTTGGGGAAGTCCTGCAAACTTGCCTTCCACGGGAGCAGTACCAAATCACAGTCCCAGTTTATTTCCCAGCCTATCAATGTGCCGTTCTTCATTACCTTGCCCACACCGCAATCTTCCTGAACGCCTTACACATAAGACTTTTTTCTTTCAAGGCCCTGAAATCTCGCTCAGCATTAGATTCATTTTAGTCCACCTCGTCCGTCCCTAGCACCAGCAGCTCCTGTGTGTGTACTGATGTCTCCGCTTCCCCTGAGCTGTGATCATCGAGAGGAGGACTGTCGGGTTTTCCCTTGGCTGGTAACGAAGAACCATTCCACGTCCTGGTTGGCCACGGTTTTCATGCACTGATGACCCAGCCCCAGCGTGGCTCTGGGCTCCTCTGAAGGCTGCCTGTGCCCATGCCTCAAGGGAAGGCTTGTGGAGGGAGGCTCCTGGGCTCCGCTCATTACCTCCCTCATTGACTGTCACAACACTACTATCTCCTTTTACGTTCTAGTTACATCCTGCCTGTGGCTATTCCTAGTGGTGTTTCCGTTACGACGCTGATACACAATTGAGTCTAAAAAGAAATTTACTAAGTAGAAGCTGTAAATCAAAGTATGGAAACTCTTCGGTAATCGGTGATAAAGGTACATGGCTGTGGCCAACTATGAAGGTGCTGTGTTCCTTAATGAGCTTTGAGAAGCATGATTTTTGTCTCATTTTTATGCGATCTCCTCTGTCCCCCTTGTCACTGCAGGCGCACCCCCTCTTGCCCTGAGGCATTAAGTAGGTGGGAGGGCCTCAGCTGTCTGCTCCACACTTTGAACATAAAAGGCACACTTGACGGGATTTGTTTTCTTTTGTTTTTGTTTTTGTTTTGGGGAGCCTCTCTAGGGAACTTCCTTGTTCAGACCATTAAAAAGAATCAAGATTCAGTAAATACTTTGGTTGGGAGATGTGATTGCATCATCCTGGGAGCCATGGAGTCTGTTTCTGGGGAGGACTAAATCGTTTTGTTCTTTCTCTTCTTCATTCCGTCCATTAGTTGCCAGTGTTAAGTAGGCCTTACTTTTAACCTTCTCTTTCTTTTCAACATCAGGGAGGCTGAGCCAGGAGGGGACGGCATATCTTGGTGAAGGCTTCTCAGTGCGCGCTGGCAGGCTGGCCAAACACGAGGGCTCTGGAGGCAAACTGCCTGGCCCTGAGTGCTGGCCCTCCCCGTCACAGGGCTGGGCCCCTTGGAAAGTCAGACCAGCCTTTCAGTGCCTGAGTGTCCTCACCTGCAAGCAGGGGTGCTGATAACCTACACCGTCTCGGGGTTGTTACGGGGACTAGATAGGTTATGCTCGGTACAGCACCGAGGAACTGAGTGCTGCTCACACGGTGACGCTCGCTCGGAGAAAACTGCCAGTATCATTGTAACTAAGACTTCCGTTTTCACTTCTAACTGCACCACTGCTGACTTTCAGCATTCCCCAGAATGAATGAGGAGTGTTAAATGGTTCCCATGGGCTCTTCGCCTCTATCAATGACCAGCACCTGGAAAACTGGTCGCTTGATAATTTCCATGGTGAGTTAACTGATGGGACAGTGCAGCAGGGAACTGGATCCAACTTGATCAAATTCTCGGACCTTGGACAGGCGTGATGAGTGTTCAGCTCCAGGTAGACAATCTTTTGCCCGTGCTTCTAGCAAGAGCTTTTGATATCCAGTCAGACTTACCTGGGAGTATTAAAAGAAAACTTCAGCTATGCACCAGTGACCCCCCCCCCACCTTATTTTAAGAAAAAAAGGAGGAAGAAAATGTGATTTATCTGGAAATTGTAGATTTCACCTTTCAGTGATGATGGAGTATTTGTAGCAGAACAGCATTCGCCCTGAAAAGAAATGAATGAAGTTTGAATGGAAGGAATTCTGCTTGAAGATTTGGAGAACTATCAATGCAGATAGGACCCACCAGTCTTTCACCTCAAGGGGGGAGATGAGAGAGAAGAGAAACTCAATGGAATGAGACTAATTTTCTGCGTTATCCCCTCAGGGCATTTGCCAGTTCTTGGCAGGAACAGGAGACTGAGAAACTGGAGAGAGGGAAGCTACTAAGAGTCAGAGAAAACAACATGCTAAGTGATCTCATAGGTCTGGACAGAGAAGTTGGGGGGCTGGGGGGTGGGGGGGAGGAGAGGAAGGACATATGGAACTGTTCAAGGATTCAGACTTGAGCAGCCAAGATCCTGGAATGGGTTAAGTGAGCTGGGTGCTTGGTACAGAAGTTCCCCACAATACATTTGCAAATTAAGCTATGTGCATCAAGGGGCTTGGAAGGCCAGCAGAGTGTGGCTGAAAGAGAGTGGAATTTGAAGCACTACCATGGTACTTAGGGGATAAAAACTGAAGCTCAGGATTCATGGAAAAGGAGGGGCCCAAGGAAACATACCAAGGTCACAGGTGGGAGCCCCGGACGTCTGCAGCACAGCAGTGTGAGCAAACTAGCTGTAGATTGAGGCTTTCCCTGAGGGCGAACTAGCTGCAAATCAGCTTCGTCAAGGATTAGAGGTGATGCGCCCCTCTGCTGCCTGCTGGGGGAGAAGGTGAAAGATCTTCAGAGAAACAACATCTCCAACCTGGCTGTCCTTCACACCACGGGTTCATCATTCAATCACAGTATTCTAGGATTGTAAAGGAAGAGAAGCAAGAGAAAGAAGGCAAACCGTAGAAATTGCCTCTTGAGATCTTGAGTTCTCAGATAAGAACTCAAAGCGGTAGGTTTTAGGGGAGCCTGGCTGGCTCAGTGGGTAGAGCACGTGACTCTTGATCTCTCTGGGTTGTGAGTTTGAGCCCCACGTTGGGTGTACAGGTCACTTGAATAAAATTTCTTTAAATTACTTAAAAATCAGGGGCACTTGCGTAGCTCGATCGGTTAAGCATCTGCCTTGATTTTGGCTCAGGCTCAGGTCATGATCTTAAGGTTGGTGAGATCTATGGGGCAGAACCTGCTTGGGATTCTCTCTCTCTTCCTCTTCCTCTGCCCCGAGCTTGTTCTGTCTTGCTCGCTCTCTCTCAAAATAAATAAATTGAAACTTGAAAAAATATATTACTTAAAAGAAAAAAAAAAGGTAAAGTGGTATGATTCAGCTGTTCAGAAAATAGATGACAAGATAAAATATTTCATCAGAGAAATAGAATCTAGTTTTAAAATCACATGAAAATTAAATATATGTAATAGTTGGCATTTTAAAAAAAGTCAGCAGGTCAGTTTAACTGTAGCTTGGACTCAATGGTAGAGAGAGTATGAACCTCGAAATTTGTAAGTAGAAAGAAACTCTGCAGACTGAAGCATACAGAGCCAAAAGGAAGAAATATTAAGAGCGTAACAAAGATAATGAGCCATGTCATGAAGTCCTAACACGTGTGTAATTAAAGTCTCAGGGGTTGGAGGACCAGAAAGTGGGGCAGAAACTATATCATGGAGAATCGAAGAAAAATCATGATGGTCTCTCCAACCACATGTGCAAGAAGTTCGGTGCACTGCAAGCCAGGTAAGGACAAGAAGGTCACACCCCTAAACTGCTGAACAACCAAGGGCAGCTGAAAACAATCACAGCAGCACCCAGATTGGGGTGTGGGGAGGAGAGGACACTCCTATGACATCGTCCAAAGATTGGGAGCTGAAATCTCAGCAAAAACATGAAAAACAAGACCTCAATGAAGGGCCAGAGCAGTATGATTTCCAGCCACCACGTGCTGTCCCCGACCCAGTATCTTTCAAGGGTGAGTGAAGTGAAGACCTTTCCACATAAGCTAACGAAAAAGAAATGCAAAGTGCAAAAGGTAACTCTTCAGGCAGAAGTAACTGCACAGGTCACGGGGGAACTGTGCAGAAGGAAGGAAGGAAGGAAGGAAGGAAGGAAGGAAGGGCAATGAATAGGTAAAATACATGGCTAAGTCAAATAAATATGACTCTCTGAGCAATGGTGGTAATGCCTATGTTTTTAAAATGTATGTTGAGGGGCGCCTGGGTGGCTCAGTTGGTCAAGCATCCCACTTTGGCTCTGGTCATGATGTCATAGTTCACGAGTTTGAGCCCCGCGTTGGGGTCTGTGCTGACACCTCAGAGCCTGGAGCCTGTCTCGGATTCTGTGTTTCCGTCTCTGCCCCTTCCCTGCTCACGCACTGTCACTGTCTCTGTCAAAAATAAATAAAATAGATAAAATGTATTTTGAAATAAAATTAATGCCAATAACTCAAAAATGAGGGTAAGTGGAGTTAAGATATTCCAAGTATACAGTGCAATAATGTGATAAACGTGTAAATGCTTGTACTAACAGCCAGACTAATATATGCAACATATCCATCAACCCGGGAAGTTTCCTGGCAAATTATTTCAAAGAGGGAACCACTCTTCTCTGCTAATACTTCCTGGAAATGGAATCACCCAGGAGTATAAGATAGGTACATATAACTATGCGAGGGGCTTATCCGTGTTACCGCCTAAACCCTAGTTTGGATGTTTTTACTACAGAGTACTTAATCCATTCTAAACATATACAAGGGTTTGTGTATCACCTCTGTTGAGGGGCATTTGTGTTGTATCCGGTTTTGCCTAGTATGAATGATGTTGCACGAACGTTGGTGTAGAAGCCTCTTTGGATGTTGGCATTCATTTTTCTGGGGGAGTGAATAGCAATATTCCTAGGTAACGGGGCAGGACAGGTTTTTCACTGTATGAGAAACTGCCAAATATTAGGAAAGTCGTGCTAAATTACAGTGCAATCAAGATCACGCAGTAATACCGTACACACTCCAATGCGGGAGGGAGAGAGGAAACAGCTTTAAAAATACCTATTTTTCTAGACTTTTCGTCTTCACTTTGTTCCCAATGCTGAAGGCCCCCCTGAAGGTGGCTGTGGTCACACCGAGTCTCACCACCAGCCTATTCGGGAGACTCCAAGGCAGCCCACCCAAGAATCACTCAAAACGCCAGGTAGGAAGAGACCTTCCCTCCCCAGTCGTGGCTCTGCCACTCTTCCGCTCGGTGCCACTCAACTCGGTTTCTGGCTCTTCCTTTTCATCCCTCTGGTCCGTGACCTAGATTTCACTGGAGCGTGTTGGCCGCGGACCTCCTGTCAGTGGCTTTAAAGCAGCGCAGGCAGGAGCCCGAGGGACCCCCTTCGCCCAGAGGACACCAAAGAGACTCCGCTCTGCCGGGAGGGCCGCGGGGTGGCGCAGAGCCAACGGGCTGGCGGAGGAAGAGCGCGCACCCGACGTCTGCCCCGGGGCCCCTCGTCCTGGAGGCGGACACCCTGCGTTCGGTGCGATTCCCGAGGCCAGGCTGCTGAGGGCGCTAGGGTCCCGTCCTCGGGGGCGGGTGGCGGGGCGTTGCGGGGTCCTTTGCCGGGGCCGCTTGGGGGGCGCGGGCTCCTCGCTCGCAGGGGCGCGGCTGTTTCCAGGGCCTTGGGCGGTTCAAGCGAAGTCGGCGGGCCCGATATTTGTGGCCGAAATGCCGCTTTTGGGGGTTAGAGCCGGAGACCAGGCCGCCTGCCTCGTTTCCGTAGTGTAGTGGTTATCACGTTCGCCTCACACGCGAAAGGTCCCCGGTTCGAAACCGGGCGGAAACAGCTTCCTTTTACCACTACCCCCCCCCCCCCCCCATCTATTATCCTTTAAAACGCAAAAAGAACGAGGGCCGGAGTCCCACCGCCACCTGAAAGCCTTCTCAGCACTCGACCACCAGGCCTGGCCGCTGTGTGTCTGCTCCCAGTCACCTTGGAGAGCGGGCCACACCCACTTAGTCACTCCAACAAGGGCACGCAGGACGAGGCCCACTTCAGGTTACCTCTACTTCCACGCATCGGCTGACCTGCTCATCTGGCGCCTCCGTCTGCCCGACGGGCTCACAGCGACCGTGGCTCTGCAAAGCAGCACGTTCTTCCCTGGGCGGCACATTTGCGCAACAGGTGTATTTATTTGCCTGACAGAACGCAAAGAACACAAACCAGCTGCACCTGGGACCCGAGCCAAAGACGCGTAGGTGAGGAGTTTCAGGCTCCACCTAATGAGCCCATGGGGACACCAAAGGAGCCCGTCCCCGTGCCATCGTCAGGACAGCTCTGGAGCTACTTCGGAAGTCGCCAAGTAGAGGGACTCCGCCCCTCCCCCCCGCTGAGAGCCGAGTCCGCACCTTACCCATCAGCAAACGAGGCTCAGAAAGAGAGCACGGCCTTGGCTCTGCCACACACACGGCTCCAGCTGGACTAGAGTGTGGCGCAGGCCAGTCACCTTGTGGTCAGGGCCCAAGGGGTCGCTGAGGCTGGAAGAGGTGGTGAGCAGCAGGGCAAGGGCTGGGAGCCTTGTGCGGCTGCATTCAGCCCTGCGCCGCTGGGAATCGCCTCCGCTTGTGCTCTGTCCGCCTGGGAAATGTCACCTTGACTTTCAGGGTTTTCATCTGCAGGGGCCGAAGCAGGGATCCTGTGTGGGTGGATTCCCCGGGATCGGATCGGTGGGATGGGATTTGGATTTTTCACCGCTACTGCTCAGGTTCGATTCCAATCCAGGAGACTTTGTGGCGCTGTCTCCATACTTAGGATTTGCCTTTTCATCCCCCAGAGTCTGGTGTGCACCCAGGGACGCTTGCAGAAGTGGCTGTGCACTGAGCCCCTAAAATACGGGAGGTCAGGAGTCCGGGTCCTTGTAATGGCCAGGCTGGGAGAGGAGAGCTTGGGATGAGAAGCCAGGCCAGCGGCTCCCCTCTATTCACCTCAGAAACCCAAGGTCTCACTTCAAGCGTTTTCCTTGAAAGAGAACCTGGGACTTGACTTCGTCCCGCCTTTCAACCAAACAGACTCGGGCTTAACAGCAGTGGCAGGACCGATGGTTTTCAGGGTTAGAGCAGGAAGCCAGGCTGACTGGTTTCCATAGTGAAGTGGTTATCAAGTTCGCCTCACACGCGAAAATTCCTCGGTTCGAAACAAGGTGGAAACAGCTTCCTTTTCTTCAATGTTAATCCTCCTAACAGAAGGAAAAAAGGCAAGGGATTGGGAAATTGGGAAGGACTAGCTGTACCTGTGATTCTCAGGAACCATGAGAAAAAGTACAATTACTACTCACCACTATCTATGAGCCAGTACTCATTTGTCTTCTCATAAGCAGGTTGAAGAGGAGGCCAGGGTGTTACCACGTTCCCCCCACCCCCGGAAACACAGCAATACCCAATTCAGGTTGGACTTTATATCAGGAAATGCCTTAAAATTCCCTTTGTTTACCTTTTAGCGCCTGAATCTTCTCCATATGCTCACACTGGATAAAAAGATTGTGTATCTGAAGTATTGCCTAAGGGTAGAGCTCAATTTCCCTTGACTCCATAGCAAAATCGCAGAAGTTTATTTCCTTGACAAAGCCAAGGTAAAGATATCTAAATCTGTACCTGGATCTCAAGCCAAGGATTTCCAGAGTCAATATTTCCATATGCATACCAATTAAAAGTATATATTTTTGTATGTTACCGAACTAAAGAACCCAACACTCTCAAGGATACTATATGTGTTTTTCAACAACACAATCTTATTTACATATGCAAAGAGAAAGTGTGATGAAAAGACTTTCAGTAAATCCCTGAGAGTGTAAGCCATCAGAGGTGGACAAGGGAAAGGGTGTGGGGAAGCAGAAACTAACTGAAAGACAAGTATGAAAGAACCTTGCTTAGAGCGCCCATGTTAATTTTTTCCTGAACTAAGGCACAGAATGCCTGGTCTTATGTACCCAGGACCCATAAATATATTGGGAAATATATCAGGAAAATGGAGTTTTCTTAAATGCTATAGGAAAACAGAAAATTGTATCTGTGTAAACCAGTCTAGTGAAAAACATAAGAAAAAAAAATTTTTAATACATGATATAGAAATGAAACCAACTGGGTCAGGAATCCCCAACACAAGACTACACACTGCTAATTATAATGGCTTCAAGTCTTCTCAGGTTGTTATAAAAGTAAATTTCAGTTACAATAGGATATTAGAAAAGGGCTAAATATTAAGAGCAGTACAAACCTGTACCAAGCTGAGCACGAAAGAACTAAATATGATTCTTAGACAAAGGCAGAAGGCAAAAAAGTATTACATTGAGTAGAGTTGTGTTAAAAAACAAAATTTGAAGGTCTAATTGTCTTTAAGTAATTCATGAATCGGGCAATATCCCAGCTAACAAGTAGAGGGGAGCTTTGCAAGGTTTTTATAGGAAAGAGAATGGGACAACACGGTATTAAGCAAAAGAAAAGAAAGGATGTTTCAGACTGGGTCATCTTTCCTTAGGGGGAGTAGCTAGGATTCTAATTAGGTGGATTACTTCATCTTCCTTTAGGGAAAGGAGAGGGCCCAGGTGACAGATTAACTCATTGGTGCTGACCAGAAAGTTCCAGATTTATTGGCCTAAAATTCTAAAGTTTTTTTTTTTAATGTTTATTTACTCGAGAGAGAGGAAGGGAGAATGAGTGGGGGGTGGGGGGTGGGGGCAGAGAGAGAGAGAGGGAGACACAGAATCCAAAGCAGGCTCCAGGCTCTGAGCCCTCAGCAGGGCTCAGACTCACAGACCAACTCCCAAACCATGAGATCATGACCAGCTTAGCCACTCAGGTGCCCCTACTGGCTTCAAATTCTACTCTTGGAGAGGCAGAAACTGCAATTAAGTCTTGGTTGGTTGTCCTGGGGACAAGTGACACTATCTTGGGCCTGTGTTTTTCTTTTTAACAGGTGTAATTGTCTTAGGTCTATCCATAATGTAGTCAGACTGCTTTGCACCGAACTGGCTTCCCTTCATGGCCAAAGGTATGATAAAGGAAATCTTGAAGTGAAGTTTCACTATTTGCTCTTTGTCTCTAAAACAAAGGAGATTAAAAGAGGAATCATTCAATATTTGGTCTTTTCCAGAGACTCACAAGAGACATCAAAATAGAAAGTACAAGTATTGTTACAGGCAGCTGGTTAGGTTCCAAGAGGATGTCTGGAGGCAAACAATGAGGAGATCAGAGCCAGACCAGAGGTCAGGAGAGTCATAGGCCCTTCCTGGCAGCACTCTAAAACAAAGCCACAAAAAGCTATATCCAACCAGACAGGCCCAAGATAGCTGATGAAGTAGGTTGGAAACCCCTGGCAAAATAACGAAAAAAAGATGAGAACTCCTGCTTCCAAGCTATTCCCACCCCAAGTAATGAACATTCTACCCCCTCGTTCACAACTGTCAATAAAAGATAGAAACCTAAACCCCAACTTCTCTGAACTTCTCTCTCCCCACCTCCCTCTCCCTCCTGCTTCCCTGCTCTCTATCCCAAGAGTAATAAACTTTACTATTTGTGTCCCTACTATGCTGTGTTGCACGTCTATCTCATGACAAGACCAAGAACTTTGCTAACCTGTTTGGGACGGGCCAGGTCAGAGCCTCAGGGTCTCCCCAGGTCACCTGGCAAGAGTATCACGCAGATTTTCTTTAGCAACTTGGGCACATTCCTTAATGTTCAGCTTCCTGAATTGTCGCTGGGTCCTGAACACCTTTTTGGAAGAACTGGTGACCATAAGTCTACGCTAGCGGATATCCTAGAGGATCAACAGCTGGGTTTGCAATCCAGTCCCTGGACCAGGCTTCCAGTATAGGATAGAAGGCCCCAATTGATAGAATTTTTATGTTCAGGCTCCTTGACTTCCAGAAGCTGTTGGAAGCAGACTTCAGCAATCCTATTGTGAAATTTGTGATGGTTAAAAGGGCTGAATTTTGGTTGCACATCCCCATGGCTCTTAGCCTAGTAAGTAGTGATTCACTCCTACCTAGGGATTATTCCCTGCAGTCATTCATTCAACCTGTTTTCATCCTATTCTTCTATCCTTCCCTTGAGTGGGCATTACTCTCAAGTAATTTATTCCTAGTGTCCCTTTGTTTCCACATAGAGATCTTATGATTTCTTTGATTTCTCCACCTCTGCATGTTCATAAGTCTGGCTAAAGTTAGAAATCCACACCAAAGACAAGTCACACAGCTGGACACAACCCCATCTACTTTCACAGGATCCCAGGATCCAATTTTGAGGTCTACAGCTGGTGGTTACCTTGGTGTGGGAGCTCTTGTGGGGCAGGCAGGTTTAGAGGTGCAACAGAAGGATTGAATAAACACAACTATCTTCCTTTCCAGGGAAGCAATTCCCTAAAGAATTTTTTGTCTTATTTTTAATTTTTTAAAAATGTTTTTTAATTTAGAGAGAGAGAGAGTGAGCAGGGGAGGGGAAGAGAGAGACACAGAATCTGAAGCAGCCTCCAGGCTCTGAGCTGTCAGCACAGGGCCAGCGCAGGGCTCAAACTTGTAAACTGTGAGATCATACCTGAGCTGAAGTCAGCTGCTTAACAGTCTGAGCCACCCAGGCACCCCAGAAGCTTTTGTCTTTTGCCAAGTCTAAGTGACCTAGGCAAGATTTCATGTTGCAACCCTTGTTGGGTAAGAATTCCCAGATGTATGTTGGAATATCTAAGCTGGTTCCTTTACTTACTTTCTGATTCTTGTCCCACTGAGATTTGAACTTTGCTTCTGAATTTCTAGTCCAGAGCTTTGATCCCTGGACCTTAAGATAATGTTGGGAGGAGATGGCTTATAAGACTTTTGGAGAAACAAAAATTACCTATCATAGAAAAACATGCAGTATGGATTTACTCTGTGAACCAGGTATGGTTATAACGTCCAGTGAATTTTCTTAATCTTAGAGTGCCAAAAATTCTTCCCCTTACATCTGTTTCTAAAGTTCAGAGTCTTACCAATGTATCATATGCTTCTTGACTTCTCCTCCAATTGACGGAATCACAGGGAGAGCTAAACTATGCCTTTGGAGTAGAAATCCAATATAAAATGATGTAACTTCCAACTAGGTCCCTTTGATTATTGGGTTTGACAAAGAAGTTCCACTGGCTCTCATGTTCAGTATGTGAACCATGCCTAATGGTTTCAACAGGGGTTGGATGGGGGATAAAGAAGAGGCTGATAACTATGGAATGATACTTTAGGGGAGCAGAGATGAAATTTTATTTCTACTCTTTCCCTCTCTTGTCTGTATATTTCCCACCTATTATCTCTTATTCTTAGCCCTAAAGAGCCATTCAGGACTGTTTTTATCTTATTTCCAAGCAAAATTTTATTTATGCTGATTTTATTCTCTATCCTTCCTAACTGTTCTGCTAGGATCTCTCTACTTTGTAGACTGCTTCTCCTGTCTGTCCTGCTAAATTCCTTTTCCTGTGTGTCTCAGAGAAAGAGACAGAGAATTATTCTCTTATTCATTTATCCATTCTTTAAAGCTAGGTCTTGAGGATATATTAGGTACTTACACACACACTTGGCTTTCTAGGAACTTCCAATATTTTGGAAAATAAGGACAAGTAGACAGTTATTTCATTAGGGAATTCTTAATGTAAAAATGTAAATAAATACATCAGAGGGCATCTAAGTCAGTTTAGAGGGTCAGAAAAATCTTTCAAAGGAAATGACTTCTGGAATGAGATTTGAAAAATGAGAATGAATCAGAACAATGAAGAGGAGGCGGGGAGAGACGGTTCCCCATAGAGGGAAGCACGTGCCTAGAAGTGTGAGAGTGACCAACACGTGGAGATCTGAGAACTGGCAAGAGACTAAGATGATGAGCATGTCGGGATATAGATCATAAGGTATCAGCCATTTTAGAGAAGGAATACAGGGACACTACATGGAGTTGGGCTGCAGGTATGTAGATTTAGGGTGTAGAAGGGTCACTCAGAATGCAATGTGGCAAAATATTGGAGTCAACTAGACTGGCTGGAGGGAGGCCAACTTTATACTGGTTGTATCAAGGGAGGTTAAAGTGCAGGATACCAGGTGTTGGCCAAACATACAGGTACTTTCCTAACCACCAGATAGAATGTCTGATGTGAGCGAATGAGCTCTCCTCACAAGACATTTGAGCAGAAACGACATGATGTGTCAATAGTCGAAAAGACTCTTGCAGG